GTGATACTATAATTATAAATAGTATTGATAACAGACTCATTTTGAATCTTTTCATAAACAGACAAGTTGGAATAAGTTTACAACATTCCTTCAGTTGATATTAACCACATATCTCTCATATAGAGACTTACTTCAATGATATCTTGAGAACATAATTGTATGCTTCTAGAAACTTAAATCCTTCAAGAATTTTCATACATTATGATCCATATCTATTCATGTATTGGATTGTTTATATTTATACAAGAATTTGAATCCTTCTGGGATTCACATATAATTTCACTACATAGCGGGTCACTGTATTTCTAGACGCATATGAGATTTTATCAAACTGCCAGATTGATAATATACATAAAAATTTTAATTCACCACAAGATTCTCTTTCTCTTTTCTTGTACAAATACCCCTTACACTTCAGATGTTTGGGTTAGAGATACACAAATCTCCTGTTATAATATTGCGTCTTTTCTTTTCTGTTAGCCAATCATTTTTCTGTCTGTATCTCATAACAGATTTATATATAAGATCCTCACTTGATCATGTGATATCATCAATCAAATTATTGTCGACAATTTTATTCCTTTGTCGGTCCCGTTTTCTTTTATGACATAATATATCGAGATCTCTTTATTGCTTTCAGACATTTAAACCTCTTCAGGGGTCAAAGAGTTATGTCTTAATCTTTTTTGCAATTCATGCCTCCTTAGTATGATCATCATGATCATTTGCTCCTTTTTCTTTCTTTTTGGAACCGATCATAATATCATGCTTTTAGCATGTCTTCAAGAATATGAGCATTTTTAGCTGGAATATAAGAATTAAAAATTCTCATTTGGGTCAGTAATTGCATCTGGCAGACATTAGTAATGTTTTACAAATGCAATACTTCATGAACTTCTAGTTCATACTACTATATTTGAGGATCTACATTTGATAGTGAAAGTGCATTCTATGTGTTCTCTTTTCCAGCTATACATTTTCTCCCCCTCATATTGGAAATATGCAATGTAGGTCTCCCAAATCCATAAATCTCCTTCAGAAACATTATTTTGTTTCATTTAGAGACAAACAAGAATAAGGAGGTTCTTATCCAACATTGATCCCAACTTACTTTTAATATCCACCTATGTCCATTATTACGGTGGAATAATAAATATTGCATATTCTAAGATGAAAAATGTCTGACTCCTGATCAAAAGCCAAATATAATGGGAGAATTCACAATACATTGTTGGCTTGATGTATTTATGTGCAAAAATATAAAATCAATCATCCCAACACTCAAGTAGGAATTCTGTTCTCATAAACTCTGATCTAGCTACTTATGGAGGCTTTTACTAAGCATATAATTATCAGCAATGTGAGGAACAATCACTAGCAATCTCAACAAGAATCATATTGATTTCATAATCAAGAACTTATGTACTTAATGTAATTATTTGAACATATTTGCAAATTTCAGGTTGCAAGTTGATCATAAACACCTGTGACCATTTTATAGATGCATCTTTCACTTATAGAGTATTACTTTGGTCTACATGGTGTCTAAATGGGCCCATATATAAATTTGATACATTATAAATCTGTACGGATCTGATTTTGAGCATAGCTAGTGATGTTCTTTTTTAGAACAAACAACACATAAAAATTCTTGAATCACATATCATTTTAAAGAATCTTCTAGCTCTTTAATAAACGACAATGCACATTTTTTATGATATTTTGCATCATTATGATCCGGGATGATCTAACCAGTCATGCACTCATGCCAAACTATGAATGCATAAACTTCTGGTTTATTGTAAAATCATTCTCAATTATTGGTAAACTTCTTATTACCATGTTATATTATTTATTTTTCTCCTTAATATTCCATAAGGAATATGTTATCAATTATAGATTTTATCTTCAGGATAATAAATAATGATATAGCTCTTCTAGAGCATTAGTTTTTATCTTTTACCCAAATGGTAAAAACCTGTGCAGTCATGAAAGGTTGAGCGCTACTGGCTCTTCTGGAGCTTTTTTCAAAAGGAACATGAGATATAAGGAATGAAATTAATATTAATAATAACAAATTCCATCTAACATGATTCACACTTGTATTTCAACAATCTCCCCCTCAAGTGTGAGTCATATAAATATATTTTTCTTATTTCTGTATTTCAAATACAGTGAATACTATATAGTAAGCTAATAACATATCTTTAACTTGGAAATCCAAATGCTTCCTGATTCATATATAATAATAGATTTAAATCCAATTGAGTTATCACCTTAAGACCCTATAATAAGTAAATATTCTCATATAAATGTTTGTGGGTTATAATTTTTCATTATTAATTCCTTTTCTGCCCACAAAAAAAAATAGAAATTATATCGCTTCTAGCCTTTTAATGAGATAAAAAAAATTCAAATATCTATGGCTTCTGGCCGTAAGATAGAAAATCAAATTTATATGGCAACTAGCCATTTAATAAGATAAAACAAAATTATATATATATGGCTTCTGGCCATAAAATAGAAAATTCAAATTATATGGCTTCTAGCCATTTAATAAGATAACAGTAATCAAATATATATGGCTTCTAGCCATAAGATAGAAAATTTATACGTAAATACTTCTAGTTATTTAATAAGATAAAATATCAAATATATATGACTTCAAGTCATTTAAAAAAATAGAGAATTAACCATATATATATATATATATGGCTTCTAGCCATAAGATAAAAACTCAAAGTGGTATAGCTTCTGGCTATAATATAGAAAATCAAAATTATATGGCTTTTAGCCATTTAATTTGAAAAGAATGTAAAATCAGAGTTATATGGCTTCTAGCCATTTAATCGCAATGAGATGAGAACTTAGAACTATATGGCTTTTGGCCATTTAACTTTAGATGGTAACTCTTTTAAGATACTGCTAGTATCCATTGGAACTTCGGGTTCTATCGAAATAGTGACATCAGGTCAATAAGAAATAGAGGGGGAAAGAATCTCCAATCATAGCCATGGAACCCGATGTTTAAAACAACAGTAGATTTTTTTTTTTTAATTCCATATAATGGCTTAGATTGTCCTAGATAAATTGAATAGGAATATGGATACTCTGAAACACCATATCTGTAATGCTCGAGATATTCTTATTTGAACAAAGCAAGAGATACTCCAAAAAAATAATATAGATGATGCTCTAAAATTATGCTGGAATAGAAAGGTATATCATACGCACCTTGGTTAGAGCTTCGTGCTGATAACGTGTTATGAATAAAGAAGAATAGAGAAGAATCATACAAAGGAAGAGAGGATTGATAAGAGAGAGTCTTTCTCATTCCATTCAAGAGTACACAATACATTATACATGGCCTCTATTTATAGGCACAGCTTTACATCTTTGATAGAATCTACAAATCACATGATAATATGAGATAATTGTGGGATATAGAGATAATAGGAGATATTAGAGATTATAGGAGATAAAGGGAGATATATGGACATCCACAAAGATATTATTATATTCATAACAGTATGCAATTAATGCAGTAATATGATGGATCGCAAGACTTGCATTATTGAATGAAAATACTCCTCCACAGAATTAGGCCTAATGGAGGCAAGTCTAAGCAGAAAAAAGAAAACTCACACAACCCTATGCATTCAAGAAGCACAGAAACTCTCCCACTTCACTCACCACATTTCCGATACCTGCTCTAACAATGAATCTTTTGTTATAATAGCTTCTCTCCCTCGCTAACTGTCAATAGTACCACAATTACTTGGGCCCCCACGTGGCAATATTATTCTTTTTTTGGATTTCTCCATCCGGTATCCCAGAGTAATAGGCATCTTTCAGCCGTGACAGCAGCCCCAGACTAATCCGGATCGAAGGCTTGCAAGGAACCTTTCGGTTGGCGCCCTCTGGCCCCTCAGGGTGCTGCGTTCCCATGGCTCGAACTCGAGACCTGTGGTTAAGCTAAGACAGCCCCAGCCAGCTGACCTAACCCCTCGGGGTTGGCAATATTATTCTTTTGTCCAAGGCAATATCACATGTAACTAATAAGGTTGAGAATAAAAAAAATTCGTTAAAATTTTAGCTTAGCATTTAAAATTATTTATAAGTATGTTTCACTTAAACCGAAATAAAACTCCTCTCACATACTGATATCATATTTCGTAAATTATAATTATAAAGATGGCCATAACTATCCGAAACCTATATTTTATATGTAAAGAATGGGAGGGAATATCATTTTGTATCACTTATTCTGTCTACAATAGTGCATAAATACAGAGGATCCAAGTTGTCCCTTTCATTGGGAAATTTTTTTTTTTTTTGCCAACCATAAATTTTTAATAGGCATTAAATACACTAATTAATAAGTTGCAGAGAATCCTTCATTGTTTTCCTGGACTTTTCTTTTGCCTAGTTGCCTTACTTACCTAAAATATTGAAATGTCCCTTAATTATGAAAGTGACCTGCAATTTTGACTTTGTAAACATATTATCAAAGCATAGTGAACGTAGAATTGTACTATCAAAAGCATTAGAAATTTGTATGATTAAATGAAATCTATATGATCTCTGAAAATGATACCAAAAAATTTGTCTCTTACGTTGATAAAGAGTGCAATGGCTTTGGATTGGAGGTGTGAAGGTCTGTGAGAAACTATGCTTCATGAAAGAAAATTTATTCAGAATCATTCAGTGAATCGGATTCTGGCTAGTTTGCCAAGGCTGCGCTCAAGGGATGTGTCCTTAGGATTGGGTGCTTTGCTGACCACGTCATCTTTTGAATTTACTAAACATGTTACAGGTGACAATAGTTCTGTTACCGATAGCGCAGGGGTATGTTGAACTTGATTTATGCCTTTCATTCCATTATACGGATGTATCTGAGACTAAGTATGTTTTAATGAAGGATGGTTTTTCTTCCCCGAAGGGAATCTATGTCATCAGAAATCAAGAACAGAAGATAATGGAGCAAGAAGAGAAATCAGTTCAATAAAAGTACACTGAAGTGGGCAGATATGATTAAAGGAGGTACAATGACATTATTAACATTGAAGTTCTCAAAACCAAATTAAAAAAAAAAAAAACAAAAAGAAACATGAAGTTCTAATCGCATTATTAGATTATTGTACAGAAGATATGGCTGACAAGACAGTAAAGTAACACACGAAGTGGGCAGATATGAGGTGATGAGAAGGGATTTCAAGGATAAACTTCAATAAGTGACCTTAGACCAGAAATGGATGTTATCTTGTAGTGACTGAACCCAGCTTCCAAGAACAGCTTCTCCCATTCTTTTTCTTCTCTCTCTCTTCCATTGGTCATAATCATCATCATCACATCGAAGAACAGCTTCGCATCTCTTACATCGCGTTCATCTTTCTGCTCATTGATCACTTTGTCTATAATAATCACTTTCCCCTCTCTGCCTTTGCTTGCGATGGCTTCCTTACACTTCTTGAGCACCTTCACGCAGTCTTCATCACCATAACCATGTAAAACCAACTGCCAAATCCCAATTAATCATTCAAATTTCCTGCTTTGTTAATAATTCATACAGTGCTCATCAATGATACATAAACCGGTGGATCTTAAAATTCAATTGTGAACTTGTTTATAAAATTTGCGTACCTTAAGAAGAATGGCATCTCCTGCAGGAATAGACTGAAACATATCCCCTCCAACGAACTTCAAATTTTCGCTGTCTTGTAAGTTTTCAACAACATACGGAAAATCTAGCACGGTGCACTGCAGATTAGGCAATGACTCGGATATGACCCTGGATGCAGCTCCTTTTCCACCCCCAACATCAACTAATGAATTGAATCCCTCAAAAACTGATCGGCAATCTTTAATTACCAAGTTCATCATGCTTGAATCACTAATCAGGGCTTCATTAAAGAGTCCGCTAAAATCCTTGTTTTGGCTGACATAGTCCCAACATCCCATCCCATATACAGTGTAAAAGGGGGTGGGCTCATTACTGCTAAACCAGTCTCCCAAGTGCTCCGACGAATGAACTATGGCCGGATGAAGCATTGCCTGAGCTAAATAAAACAAGCTTGGGACATTGTCTTTGAGGAGAAGTCTAGAGGAAGGTGTGAGATCATATCCCACTTCTTCCTCGTCACCTTTAGGGACTTTGACAGTAGAAAAGAAGCCAGAGTGAACCAGTAAGCGCATGAGCCTATAGAGATGTGAAGATTTTGCAGGGTCTATATGGAGAGCCAACAGCAGCTTAGGGAGGGTGATGGGCCGGCCATGGCTGTGGATTATGTCTGGTATGTTCAGCTGCAGAGCACTCTTTAAACTCATCGAACCTAGGAAATTGAATACATGTTTATACACATGGGCCTGAGCTTGAAACAACTGTGTCTCTGCCTCCACGTTGCCTTTGTTGATATCCATTTTGGCTGCTGCAGATTCCTTTCTTCTCTGATGAATAGTACTACATTCAAGAGCAACTAATGTTAAGAAGGTCAGGAGGAATAAATGGGCCCTTAAAAGTTCACCATTCAAACGGTTCGTTGACTTTGAAAATATTTTAATTGTTTGTTTATTGGGTGAAGTAGCCCTCCATTCCCACGAGTTTGCCTCATTCAGACTTTTAATATTTATAAAAAATAAATGTTATTATAATGCAGGGTATTTGAAAATAAGACCGTGTCTATCCAAAAATTATATCTTATATATGCAGAGGACGGGAGGGGGTATCATCTTGTATCACTTATTCTACCCACAGTAATACATAAATATAGAGGATTCAATTTATAAGTTGTCCCTTGCATTGGGAAATAATACATATTGAAACGTTAAAGTGACTTGCAATTTTGAATTTTTAAACATCTCATCAGTGCTTTTGTCCAAAAAAAAAAAAAACAACATCGGCATAGCATAGTGAATGTAGAATTGTATTATCAAAAGCATAAGAAATTTGTATGATTAAAAGGAATCTATGTCATCTCTGAATATGATAGCAAAGAATTAGTCTCTTAATAAGAACGCAATGGCTTTGGATTGGAGGCGTAAAGATTGCTAGAAACTATCCTTCATGAAAGAAAATCTATTCAGAATCAGTCAGTGAATTGAATTCCACCTAGCGTTTCCCACCACATCATCTTTTGAATTCACTAAACATGTTCCAGTGGGAAAAAGAATCTATGTCATCAGCATTGGATCATCTCTATGTATACACATGAGCCTGAAATTTTTTTTAAAAAAAAACTATGCATTAAAATCTGAGAGCCAGTCATGGATCTTTTTGAATTGCAGTAATCGTCAAAGCATAACCTTTGTGATCATGCTCTAGGAAATCCTAAACCTTCTGGCATCTGAAACATCTAAATCCATTCCTCCAGTAGACAAAACCCATCAACATTACACTTGATTATTTTGGCCTAATGAAAGCTCCATCATAATCTTTTGAAGACTTCACGGTGTCTTCCTTCACTTTCATCTGGAAATTGAAATACTGATTCACAGCAAAGGACATGAGCCAGAACAGAGCAACATAGCCTCATTCGAAGTACAGAGTTAAGGCGGAAACATAGTCACTAATTCTTTTTTATATTTACCTCTGTTCAGATTAATCAAAGAAATTGCTTCATTGATCTCACAATTCTTCACCCCAGGGGCAGATCTGGATTGAGCCATTCTGGGGATTCTCAGTTACATGAATCATGCATTTAGTAAACCTTGATATTTGGTGGTTGCGGTGTGTGGCCTGTGGAGGTATCTGTGAAGCAGAAAGAGTTGCTAGGCAAAGATGATATGATCAATCAACAAGGGAACAGTATCAAGTCTAGGTACTCATGAACCTCCATATTTATGTGACCAAATGATTTCTCAATAATATGATCTTCATCAAGACTTTGATTATAGTCGTAGTTGTAGATGTGGTCATGGATTGTAGTTGTGATTGGGTAGCCAAATACAACTTCTCGGGCTCGTGGGTAAAACAAGCTAAACTAAAAATTATAGATGTATAAGTAGATTGCAAAGGATATCATTAAAAAGTATCCGCATAGGTTAATATATGAGAAACTAATGCATTTAATTGAAAACTTTTATATAATATATTGGTCGTATAAGTCGACTTGAAGAATTAAAATTGCACTTGTCCAGTTGTGTTATCACATGATTGTTATATTAAATATAACATTTAATCAACATTTTTACTTTGACAATAATTGTAGGGAGTACAATGATATTTTTATCATTGAGGTTCTGTAACCGAATAAAGAAAAACATTGAAGTTCTAATCTTGTGACTAGATTATTGTTCAGAGAATGTGCTTCGCAAGATAGAAAACCAGCACACACAAAGTGGGCAGACATCAGGTGATGAGGAGGGATTTCACCTTTCAAGGATAAACTTCGACGAGGGACCTTACACCAAAAATGGGAGTTATCTTGTAGTGACTGAACCCAGCTTCCAAGAACAGCTTCTCCCAATCTTTTTCTTCTCTCTCTCTTCCAGAGACGGCAGTCATCATCATCACATCGAAGAACAGCTTAGCATCTTTCAGGTTGTCCTCATCTTTCTGCTTATTGATCACTATATCTATGATAATCACTTTCCCTTCTTTGCCTTTGCTTGCAATGGCTTCCCTGCATTTCTTGAGCACCTTCACACAGTCTTCATCACTATAAGCATGTAAAACCAGCTGCCAAATTGCAAGCAATCATTGCTTAGTAAAATTTCCTACTTAGTTAATGAGTCAAATAGTGCTCATCAATGCTTTACAAACTGGGGAAACTTAAAATTCAAATATGAATTTGTTTATGAAATCTGCATACCTTAAAAAGAAAGGAATCCGCTGGAGGAATGTATTGCAGCATATTCCCTCCAACGAACTTCAAATTTCCGCTGTCTTGTAAGTTTTCAACAACATGCGGAAGATCTAGCACAGTGCATTGCAGATTAGGCAATGACTCAGATATGATCCCAGCCGCAGATCCATTCCCACCCCCAACATCAACCAATGAGTCATATCCCTCAAAGACTGATATGCAGTCTTTAATTACCAAGTTCATCAAACTTGAATCACCAATCATAGCTTCATTAAAGAATCTGTTAAAGTCCTGGTTTTGGCTGAGATAGTCCCAAAATGCCATCCCATGTGCAGTGTGAAAGGGGGTGGGCTCATTACTGCTAAACAATCTCCCAAGGATTCCGATGCATGCACTAGAGCTGGATGAAGCATTACCCGGGCGTAACCAGACAAGAATGGGATATTGTCTTTAAGGAGAAGCCTAGAGGGAGGTGTGAGATCATATCCCACTTCTTCCCTGTCAGCTTTAGGGACGTTGGTAGTAGAAAAGAAGCCAGATTGAACTAGTAAGCGCATGAGCCTATAGAGATATGGAGATTTTGCAGGGTCCATTTGGAGAGCCACCAGCAGCTCAGGGAGGGTGATGGGTCGGCCATGGCTGTGGATTTTGCCTGGTATGTTCAGCTGCATAGCAGTCTTTAGACACATGGAGCTCAAGAAATTGAATACGTGTTTATACAGATGGGCCTGAGCTTGAAACAGCTCTGCGTCTATCTTTCCTTGGTTGGAAGCCATTTTTGCAGATTCTTCTGCTCTTCTGATGAATAATAGAAGGAAGTAATGATAAGCGGATAAGAAGGAATGGACTGGGGCTTAGAGTTCGTCTTTCGAACTCTGCTATGAGTTTGAAAATTTCTTTGATGTTTGAAACAACCCTGCCCCTGCATTGCCTTGGTTGATAACCATTTTTCCAGATCCCTCTCTTTTGATAAATGATACTATCTCCGATCTTTAGTCTAAGTGTGGGTTTGATTTTTAATTTGGTCCTCAATATAAAATTCTAATATATTTTGTCTTTTATATTTATCTATTTTTTTTTTCAAAGTAGCTTTTATAGTAATGGTAATTCTGGTTAATACACTTAATTAGTAATGGTATTTTAAGAAAAACAATACATATTTATTACAAATAACTAATTTAACTAATTTTCTTAATATATTCAAATTAGTTAACTAGTTCTTATATTAAAGATTGAAATTAATACTACTACTTATAGAAGAAATTAATTTTAAGTAGACAATTGTTGTCAATATCAAGTTGTTCCGGTGACAATGCTGCTTATCATGTTTAGATGATGTTTTAGACTCAAGTTTGGAGTTGACATATTTGTACACATATATTTAATGGTATAAGATTTTTAAAAAAACATGCGTAGCGGTTCTGAATTTGAAAATTTCCTTAGGTGTTTTCTTTTCCTTGGCTGTCCATTTATCTTCACATGAGAGTCTGTCTCAAATCTCCATTCCAACTTGTTATTTTTTAATAAATGACATATGAAAAGCGCTGATTGAGAGAACACCAATGAATGCGGTGGGGTGCCCACAATAGCCATCAAAGTATTTGCCACAGTGGAAGACCACATTATACGACACAACATCTTATTTCCCAATACAGCAAATTAATCACACAGAACAGCGATGCAGACTGCAGAATCAGGAGTAAATTCTGTTGGTGAGATACAAGAGATTTTATTGCTGATGAGTGGTTTGTGTTAATTAAGGATAAACTTCAAGAAGCGACCTTAAACCAAAGATGGGTGTTATCTTGTAACCACTGAACCCTGCTTCCAAGAAGAGCTTCTTCCATTCTCTTTCCTCTCTTTCTCTTCCGGTGACGGCAACCATCATCAACAAATCAAAGTACAGTTTTGGGTCTGTCAACTCAGGTTTATCCTCCTTCTCATTTATCACTATGTCTATTATCATCACTTTTCCTTCTTTACCTTTCCCTGAAATAGCCTCTCTACTTTTCTCCAGGATCCTTACACAGTCTTCGTCACTGTAGGCATGTAAAACCAGCTGCAAATTGCCAATCACCAAAAATGTCAAACTCAAAACTGCACTAACTCTCCATGTTTCTTTTGTTAGCCCTTCTTAAAATATATAAAATTTAATCTTACTTTAAAGCAGAAGAAAATATTTATTTAAAAAATTAACGTTAATATAATTTTTAATTTCCTAAATTTGTATTCATTTTGGATGTGGTCCCTCAATTTTTTTCATTTAAAATATTAGTTTCTATAATTTAATAAAAATCTCGACCATTTTATCCTTTTAAGAACCAAAATCTATGTTTTAAAATTAAAGGGACCAAAACCAAAATGAGAATAAATTTAAAAGACTAAAGATTATATAAAACCTAAAAAATACTTATCAAATTCAAAAAAAAAAAAAAGTAATTTACTCTTTAAAATTTATCATATTTGTTGATCATCTTGCTTAGCAGCACCCCGCTATTAAAACGTGTGGGCTATATGTTATGGAAGCCAAGCTTCGAATTTTGAAACAGAACTAAGAAATGATGAAAGCAGAGCATAACTTTTGTGCATATACCTTGAGAAGAATGGAGTCAGCAGGGGGGATATGGTGAAACATATCACCTGCAACAAACTTGAGATTTTCAGTATCCTGCAAATCCTCAATAACATGGGGAAGATCAAGCACTGTGCATTTCATATTGGGAAACTCCTCAGAAATGATCCTAGCCACAGCTCCTTTCCCACCTCCAACATCAACCATCGACTGCATACCTTCAAAAACTGACCTGCAATCTCTGATCACCAAGTTCATCATCCCAGAATCACTCACCATAGCTTCATTATAAAGCTTCCCATACTCAGGGTCCTGACTTCCATACTCCCAAAACCCGATCCCATATGTACAGTGAAAAGGGTTCTGTTCTTCTCTGTAGAACCAATCTCCCAGCAATTTCCATGGATCTGACAAAGCAGGATGAAAAACTGACTGTGCAAAACAAGTCAAGTTGGGGGCATTTCCGTTGACGAGAAGCCTAGAACAAGGTGAAAGATCATAGGCCTCCTCTTCTTCTTCCTTGCCTCCTTTGTCAACTTTGGTTTTAAGAAAGAGGCCAGAGTGAACCAAGAAACGCATGAGCCGATAGAGAAAACCAGATTTTGCTGGGTCAATCTGCAGTGCCAAGACCAGTTTAGGGAGAGTGATGGGTTGGCCGTGGCTGTGGATTATGTCTGGTATGCCAAGATTGATTGCAGTTTTAAGGGACATGGTACTGATGAAGCTGAATATGAGCTTATACAAATGAGACTGTGCTTGGAACAGCTCTCCTGCCCCACGGCTATCCATTTTTGCAGGTCCCTCTGATTTCGAAACAGATTATAAAGGGTGACCACGTCTAGGAAAAGTCTCTCGTTTTAATCATGTGAAGTCTTCCGCTAGTTAAAAAATTGTGCAAGTTGTCACAGACTCTGCAATTTATGTTATCCTTCTCTAAGCATAAATATATTTTTTATTCTGTGGTCAATGTCTCTCGACAAAACCTCTCGACTCTGCAATTTTATGTCATCTTTCACCAAGCATAAATATTTTTTAAATTTTAAGATCATTATCTTATGAAAGCTACTACTACAGGAATGATTTTCATGTGCTCAAAATTTCTTCGCAGTACTTGTGTTTAAACAAGTGAATTTAAGAAGAGTTATGCAATTATGAAGTTATGATACCTATAGTGGGGGAAAAAGACTTGTGATTTCCTTCGGCCACCAAAATTTTTTCAGTGTAAACACGGATTACAAAATCAAAACGGCCGCGTCAATGCAAGACTCAAGAAAAGCTAAGCTCATCAGCATGTTCACTCAGAAACCCATGAAGGCTATTGGAACACCGACTATTCCTCAAGGAGTTGCACATGTATTGATCATTGAATAAATCTTTTGATGCCTCCAATTACTCAAATCGACCTCCAAAACGCGAAATTACTCACATGTTCTACCACACAGTTGAATTGCACTTATTGGATTTTCAATTTATGAGATGCATTTTTTTTTTGGAACACTTTTGTTCAGTCAGCGAGTACACATATTAAAATCAGAAGTGTGTTTTGCAGAAGAAAATCCATAACTCCATTAAGAGAATATATCAGTGCTTACAAACATCCAGATGTGGAAACCTACAACCGATAGGATAAGGAGACCTAATTGCACAGCTATACATGCCAGACTACAAGCTTAAGCACGCTCGCCCCTGATACGCCTGGCGAGTTGGATGTCCTTAGGCATAATTGTGACCCTCTTAGCATGAATTGCGCACAAGTTAGTGTCCTCGAAGAGACCAACCAAATAAGCTTCTGCGGCTTCCTGAAGAGCAGCTACAGCAGAGCTCTGGAATCGAAGATCAGTCTTGAAATCCTGAGCAATCTCACGAACCAGACGCTGGAAAGGAAGTTTCCTAATCAAAAGCTCGGTACTCTTCTGGTACTTCCTGATCTCACGAAGAGCCACCGTCCCTGGTCTGAAACGATGGGGCTTCTTCACACCTCCAGTAGCCGGAGCAGACTTCCGAGCCGCCTTGGTTGCTAGTTGCTTCCTCGGAGCCTTTCCACCTGTGGATTTGCGAGCGGTTTGCTTGGTACGTGCCATAATCGCAGATTAGAATAGGAACCGGACCCGGAAATCTAAAGTAGAAAGGAAATTTCGCAGAGGGCAAAGGATGCTTTCAGGCTGATGATAAAGGCGGGAAATAGAAGAGAGTTTATATAGGAGAGGGCTTCTGAAATCGAAATTTGTGCGCGCAGAGTGAAAGATGATCCTGGCCGTTGACATTTCAGGATGCATCGACGGGTGTAATCCGTTTGGGGGATGGCATCCTGTCATACGCGGATCGATGACGTGGTAGTGTGGATGTGTCGGCGGTTTTCCATTTTCTCTGAGAGCGTGTGATGGTAGCCATTGATGGGGATCAGCTTTTGGCGGCTGAGATCGTCTTTGATAACCTGACGCGGATCGCGAACGTGGCCGCCGGAAATTTTCATTTGTGTTTCTCTTGCATTCAGTTTGTCTCCCTTCTGTTCTTCCAGCTCTTAGACCCACATTTAACAGGTTTAAATTAAGAAAGAATTAAAATCAAATCCTACAGGAAAAAAAATAATTACTAAAAAGTTCTATTAATAACCTCAACAGTTTATAATGACAAGTTCTATAATAGAGATAACAATCTCTTAGACTTCTTTTTTAATTGTTTTTTTTATTTGAGACCTCGTTATAATTCTCCCATAAATCAATTGCAATTTTGTTACGGAACACTATTTTATCACCCCTGCGTTGCATGGAGTTTCCCCCCTACAAATCTCTTAATTTTCTTATGAACGAAGGAAAAGTGTTTATAAATTAGGTATCTAATCTTATACTACCTCCGGTCCTTATTATAAGATCCCGTTTGACTTTTTGTTTGGTCCTAATTATAAGACCCCAATCCATTTTGTCTCTCATATTTATACATTTTTTTTCCAAAATAATCCTTCTAATAATGATACTTCTAGCCAATACACTTAATTAGCAAGGATATTTTAGGAATGACAACACTTATTTATTACAAATAACTAACTTAACTTACTTCCTTAATTTCCTCAAATAAGTCAACTGGGTCTTATAATTATGACCGGAGGTAGTACTACTTAGTCTCCTTAATATAAAAGTTAGTTTAACTTTTAATTTAGTCTTAAATATAAAACTATAGTTCATTTTGTTTCTCTATTTTTTTAAGGTAGCTCTTGTAATAGTTGTACATATCAAATATTTTATTAAATAGTAATTCTAACTGATACACATAATTAATAAAGATATTTTAGATAAACAATATCTATTTATCACAAATAATTAATTTAATTAATCTTCTTAATCTATTTAAATTAATCAACTAGTTCTTATATTAAAAACCAGATAATATAAAGCTAACCTAACATAATAATGTTATCCACCTTACATAGTCTAATTCAATAAATCTAGTCCAAATTATGAGATATTATTTACAGACTATAAATAAAGTTTTTATAAATAGGGCCAGAGGTAGTAGCTAAAGAAATGTTTGGATGGAAACCAAATCATGATTTTAGAAGTGCTTTTACGGCATACGAAGTAAATATATAAAGGAGTCTGTCTCGTTTTACAAAAAAAAAAAAGGAAAAATATATTTGCAGGTCCTTATAGCTTGATCAGATTTTGAATTAGATCCTTATAGTTTTATTTCTTTTTATTGAATCCTTATAGTTAATTTTATTAAATTTACAACTCCTTCCGTTACTAATGTTGCAAACACCGTTAACCCACAATAGTAGAGGATGATCTGACAATGCGCTCTCTCTCCCCTTCCCCAACTCTGTGTCTCTCTCTATGACCTTTCTCTCTCATTTGTTAAAGCTAACCATGATGAGCTCAATTACACCTCAAAGGAGTGAAGAAGGACTGTCTCTTCGATTGGTCCTGCTCCTCATCAACATAGGCACGCTGCTTCCATGCTGTTATAAGTCTGATTACGCCAAAACGAAGTATAGTGAGAATTGGCGTTCAGCATTGCACCCACGGCAATTTTTTCAGTGAACTCCTCTGCCCACTTTCATTAACACCGCTGTTTCTTTGTCTTTTGTTATAGATAAGCAAGATTTGATGCATTCGGATCTCAAAGGAAAACTAATTGCCATAATTATATATATATATATATCATGGATAATGGAAATATGATAAATATGAAACTTGTCGAAAACGCAGTATGCTAGCTCAAGTAGATTAGAATTAGAGTGATATGAAAAGGAGGTTATGTATATGCCAGAAATATTATTACAGAGTGAAGAAATAAAGCCTAAGATGCGGAAAAATTTTCATCAATTCCTCCCATAAGACTCTAATCAAAGCTTCTTCTTTCTGATATGTTATAACAGCATATATAGAAGCAACATGCCTATGTTGATGAGGGTAGGACCAGTTGAAGAGGCAGTCCTTCATCACTCCTTTTGGTTGCCATTGAGCTCATCCTGGTTGGCTTTAACATATGGGAGAGAAAGGCGACAGAGAGGGAGGCACAAAATTGGGGGAGGGGAGAGAGAACACACTGTCATATCATCTTCTGTTATTATGGGTTAACGGTGTTTGCAATATTAATGACAGAAGGACTTGTAAATTTAACAAAATTAAGTATAAGGATTCAATATAAAGAAATAAAACTATAAAGACCTAATTCAAAATCTGATCAAACTATAAGGACTTGCAAATATATTTTTCCAAAAAAATATTTTTTAAAAGCATTTTTTTAGGTTCCCAAACACCCCCTAAATCTTTTTCTTTTTTTTTTTAACCAGCACCCCTAAATCCAAATTACTGGGAAGCCTCTTCAAAAGCCAACATTGACCCAATATTGGTACCATCGTGATGATAAAAGATTCCATGTTGCCGTGCATAACGCCTGCATCCTTGCTCCTATCAGGACTCGATGGAAACAATCTAGAGAAGCGAGATCCTACAAATGATGAATTGGTTTCTGCATAATACTACCTCCAGTCCTTAATATAAGATTTTGTTTGATTTTTATTTTGATCCTAAATATAAGACTCCCAATTTACTTTGTCTCTCATGTTTATGTATTTTTTTCTAAAATAGTCATTCTAATAATAATAGTTTTAGCCAATACACTTGATTAACAAAGATATTTTAGGAAAGACAACACATATTTACTACTATTACAAATAACTAATTTAACTTCTTTTCTTAATCTTCTTAAATTAGTCAACTAACTCTTATAATTAAGACCAGAGGTAGTACTACTAAATATTTTAGTAATTGAGAACATAGAGGCATGCTGATGAAAGATTTTAGCTGGCTATTATGTGAACAAATTTCTTGCCTTCCTCAGAGAAATTTTCCATGTCATGCTACTAGCCAGTCGTTTATTTTAAGAATTAAGAAACCATACATATATTCTGTTGCACAACATTTTAGCATTAAACACCTCTCATTTTTTTTAAATCCAAAATTCCCTCAGAAGACATAGATGAGGAAAAAATCGCAGGGTTTATGCCTGACTTGTGTAACCTCATTCTCTGCAGGATGCAATAACATATAGTTGACCATACATATAAACATACTATTTCCAACACCTAATATTAGAGTTAAATAATTAACATGCGAATATTAAAAAAAATTAGTTAATTAACTATTGGTAATAAATGAGTGTTATTTTTTTAAATATTTCTATTAATCATTTGTGTTGAAATAGAAATATTTTAATATGTGTAATTACTATAAAAACTATTTTGAAGAAGAATAAATAAACATAGAAAACAAAATAGATGGAGATCTTATATATTTAAAATCAAATTAAATCTCTAATTAGCTTTTATTTTTAGGATCTGATGTAGCATTTTGATAGATATAACCCTGTTAAAACACCTATGCATTGCGGATGATTTTTTTTTTTTTTCACAGTATTAATCATTCTATAATCAATACACACCCTTTGCAACTTATAATTACTTCTAAATAGGTGTACAAATATATGTATTTCTCAATATTGGATAAAAATCATTGCAAGTTTCTATTATCGACCTGATCACAAGCCAGGCTGCTGGTAAAATTATCAAAATGATTTATGCGTAGAAAATTATGTAACAAAAAATTTAAATATAGATATATGGGCCAGCCTATACTATATGGGTCGCCCAAATGAGCTGGAGAGATAAACTGGGAGAACCCAGGATTCCAACCCTTATCAAACCGTGTGGGAGATTTTGGGCTGAATAGATCAACCCATCGAGCTAAAGAGACCCTTAACAAACGAAGGCTTCAGTCCCCAATAAAAAAAGGTGATCAAAACATGAAGATGATGTTTTTTCAATATTATAACACATTCTGATTTTAATATAAGAGTTAATAACTAATTTGAATAAATTAAAAAAAATTAGTTAAGTTAGTCATTTGTAATAAATATGTGTTGTTTTTCTTAAAATATTATTACTAATTAAGTATAATAATTAGAACTACTATTATTATAAGGACTACCTTAAAAAATATAAAAAATAAAATAAATTGGGATTTAATATTTAGAATCAAAATAAGAATCAAATGAGTTTTTATATTAAAAAAAAAGAAGTGATATAGTTTCAAGGGGCACCATGCCCTCATCATCACTTTATTTTCACGGTCAATTTCATTTATTTTTAGTTTCAAGCACACAAATGACAAAAAGCAAATTATGGCATTGTAAAAAGGATTATATTTCCTGATGTGAGTTTCGAAATCGCAAATCATACTCGGAAGTCTTCACCACATCTTGAATAAAATTTATTACTACCTTCGGTCTTTAATATAAAATCTCGTTTGACTTTTATATTGGTTCTAAATATAAAACCCTAATCCATTTTATCTCTCATATTTACTCAATTTTTTTAAAAATAGTCCTTCTAATAATTATAGTTTTAGTCAACATATTTGATTAGTAAGGATATTTTAAGAAAGATAACACATATTTATTACAAATAACTAACTTAACTTCTTTCTTTAATTTTCTCAAATTAGTCAACTGGCTCTTATAATCAGGACCGGAAGTAGTACTATCTTTTATCTTGATTATAAGACCTTATTTATAATCTGTAAATTAGAATTGGAGGTAGTATTAACTCAATTTGTACTTAGAGTTTAGAATAATTGGAGGTAAATGAACATTAAAAAATTGTTGTAGGTGTCTTCAAGGTTTTTGCCCAGCTCTTTCTCCCGTCTTTTAATCTTCAAATAATCAGTGCCATCAATCAATCCCCATTTGATACGATAAAGTATCAAGCACTGGCCGGGAGGACCTCATCATCCTTGAAGCAATGTAACAACACCGGATCGATGACCCCCATATGTGGCAGCGTTGAGGCTTACAAGGAAAACATGCTATACGCTGATTTTTTTTTTTTTATATGTGACACAATTTTTAAAAATATTTATATACATTTTTAGATTATATATTAATTTATAAATGAGTTAAATTATTTTTTTAAAAAATAATAAATTTAAATACTTTAAAATAATTTAATAACTTTTTTAATCTTTCTAAATTAGTCAACTGAGTTTTATAGTACTGCATTCGGTTTCTAATATAATAACTAGTTGATTAATTTGAGTAGATTAAAAAAAATAGTTAAGTTAGTTATTTATAATAAATAGATATTATCTTTTTTATAATACAATTGCTAATAATGTGTATTAGCTAGAATTACCATTTGATAAAACATTTATTCTGAAAAAAACAGATAAATATAAGAGATAAAATAAATTAAAATTTTATATTTAAAATCAAATTAAAAGTCAAATAATTCTTAGATTAAAAATTAGAAGTAACGTTAAGAATTGGAGGTGGTAAAAAGGAACTTTTTTAATTAAATTCTACTGAAATCGAATCAATTGTATCAAATTTACACATCTCCAAATTCCCACCGCACGCACGTTTGGCCGAATGGCTTCTCCGGTTCAAAGGAGGCCATAACCGTTCGTTGTTAAACTTACAAATGACAGCCAATCCGCAATCACTGTGTGCTTCCTCAGCGTCTGGTTGGCGAGCCATTACAAAATGTGGGAAGTCAACCGAGCAAAATGTAAAACCCTATGAATTTCACGGCACCCCTCTTTATTTATTTAAATAGCCATTCACAATTTAGCTCCCCCTAGTTCTCCGGGCGACTTTTTCTTGTTTTTGGTCCACGCTTCGCTTCCTCTATCTTCTTCATCAAGAAATGCCGCCTCCTTCCAGGTCAAATCAGCAACGACCCTTGTTATATTCATTCTGATCCCTTTTTAAGCTCGAATTCTTTTAGCTCATAACGACCCAACATTGGGCATTACGAGTTTTAGTTAAAAAAAAGTGGTGTTCAAGATCGGATCGCACTCCCATAGTCATGATGCTTCCGCTCTTGAAGCTAGGAACGCTCGCTCTGAAGACCCTGAGCAAACCCGTTGCTAGTAGGCTCAAGCAGCAGGCTGCCATTCACCCCAGGTTCAGTCAATACATCGTTAGGATCGCCCAGGTACTCTATGGCGGTCCCATTTAATCGCATCGGCTTTCACATTAGATAAGTTTGTTAGTTTTATGCTGACAGTGCACGATGTTTACGGAGTCCGTATGGAATATGAAATGTCAAAATCGGATGCGTTTGAGACGATTTTTTGGTTCCTGTTTTCCGGTTTATATTGTAAACATTGGGTTTTAGGATATTTAGCTTTTGAACGCAATGCCTGCGTCTCAAGAGTTTGGAAAATTGGAACGTGCTGTTTAGTGGTCCCTAACCCTGGTACGTGGGCCTTAGAGTAGGAGAGGGGACTAAGCAGTGCGTAGTTGAATCATTCCAGTTTCAATCTCACTATATAATTTGTTCAACTTCTTGTGCAACGGAAAAACTCAAACCATCTATTTTCGGAAATTTTAAGCGCGAGGAGGCAAATGAATGTCTCAACATTGGCTGTGCAGTGCTTATGGTCTTGTTATTCCTCTATTTAGTTAGGAGGGTTCTATTAGCTTTCATTTAACAAGTTGAGCCTTACCACAAGCTGCTCTGACCTACTATAGACATCCCGTGTCAAAAAGAGAAGTTAAAGTTTTGCTGCAATTGTGTGCAGCACATCTTTGCTATTCATTGCTTTGTAGAGTTTGGTTCATGCCTCCTGACTTGTATAAATCTGTGTTTTAATAGACAATCCTTTGTTGCTGGTCTATACATGTATTGTGAATTGTCTTGCAGTTTGGATTTCTTTTCTTTGGATGTGAAGATCAGAGGGGCACTAAAACATGTTTTCTCATGCTTTTGCATGTCGCAAACAGGCTAACCATAGAGTCACAACACAAATGCAAAGGCGCATCTATGGCCATGCAACAGATGTTGAGATTCGGCCTTTGAATGAGGAAAAAGCAGTTCAAGCTGCCGTAGACCTTATTGGAGAACTCTTTGTCTTCTCGGTACTGTATGTTTACATTTACAATTACAAACACAGTTTGGTGATTTTGTCTATACAACTAAAATTCATACATTTTTGAAGATGTAGGCAATACCACCACTTGCTTAAAGCAAGTTAACATAATGGTGTCTTATTTTGATTCTGCTGTCATGCTATCTGCTACTTGTGAGTCTGGTGAACATGATTGTGAGCAAGATATAAGACTAATGTGTGAAATAGGACTCAATAGACAATCTGATTCTGTACTTAATCCAGCTATTACTGTTAATATTCATAAAGCTTGAAATTCTTTCTCAAGCTATAAAAATCAATCACAATTTTACTCTTTTTCTTTTTATTTGTGCTTTTGAGATGTACACTGACATTGTTATTGATGTTTGAAATTGAGGCACTATACTTAGTTTGACCTGTTATTACTTAAAAGTGGTTGAATAGCCGTTATTATCTATAGGTTAGGCCGTATTGGTCATTCAAAATTGATTGTATACGATCACCACCAGATGGCAAATGCAATGCAGATATTGCATAAATAAAAGGAGCCGACATTGGTCTTTTGAGAATTAACTAAAAGGTAGCTAATGCAACTCTTGTGAAGTTTGAAGCTGAGCGTCTCCGTAATTTTAAAGATACATCTGGAGAACCCACCTGTGTAAAAATTTCCATAAAAGGATATAATAGAAATTTCAGGGGATAATTTGAAGATGCCTGTGAGTAAAATCATGTGATTGTGACAAAATGATGCGGTAAATGAAAGTACTACTCAGTGAAGTTTCTTATTATATAGTATAGACCAACAAAAGAACCGTTATTTAAAGTTTATTACCATTGCGCACAGGATGTAAGAATATACTCCTCTGTTTACACTAAAACATAGGTCTCATATTTAGGACTGGAAGAGTATATTTTTTTATATTATTGGGCCGAAGAACAGTTTTTGTGCATGATCAATTAGAAACGTGTTCTTAAATGCGCACTTCTTTGACAATTCTTTATATTCATAGGTTGCCGGAGTTCTCTTGATCTTTGAGGTACAAAGAAGTGCAAGGTCTGAAGCAAGAAAGGAGGAGCGACGCAAGCAGGAGCTGGAGGTAATATAACCATAATCATGATGCATATATCTGTTATTATGTGTTCCTGTATATTTGTTTTAGAGTGTGGTTGCATTTGGCATGCTTCGTTGACCATGCAAAATAACTGTTTGAATAATTTTAAAAGCTATTCTATAATATTTTATTTTATTGTAAATCCGTAACAGTGTCTAGATCGTGATTCCACTTTTTGTGTCTATGATATCTTTTACCCAGGACCGACATGAAATGACCAAATGAAATATGTAATTATTTTTGGAAGATTGTTTCCGCTTTATGCTGATTTCCATATGCATGGTGCATATAGTCTCGCGGTTATTATTTTGACCTATTAAGCTCTGAGATAAATGCTGAATCAAATTCTGCAACTTTTAGCATATTTATCATAGATTTACTCGGTTGACTCGAGTGAGCAGTGAAACTATTCCCCCCCAACCCCCCCCCCCAAAAAAAAAAAACCTTGCGAAGCAAAACCAGACATCTAGGGCGCCAGAAATTGGTTAGCATGCATAAAGTCACGTTTCCTTTACCATTATTCATAGGGCCTTCCGTTTGCTGAAACATAGCATAATACTGAACAACTTTCATTAGCAGTCTATAAAAGAGAATCAGTTCCTATATTCCTAAGTTGGTGGCTCCATTTCTTGTTTGCGCTTCATTTCTTAATTGCTGCATTGTTGGCCAAATGTAGAATATAATGCTTTGCGATGTATGTCATGCTCATTATGACTTTTTCTGGGATGCTTAAATTGACCCAATATATAAAGCTTTCGGATGTACTTTATAAATTTTTTTCAAAAAGAACAATAAAAAGTCGCCTATGTCTGAACTTTCATAACAAGCTCAGTCAAGATTGTCACTGTGTTCTAGAGGTTGAACTGGGTGCTCAAAGTCTACTATCATTGAACTTGTTCAAATGGAGGGTTAGATATAAGGCGTAGCACATTATTTTCATCACAAGATTTTTGTGGAAGATGAAATAACTGAATAAAAGAGGACTACCACGTTCTTTCCTGGCTATCCATTTCCTTTTCTGTGCTCAAATATTAAATCAGGGTGAACAATTTTTGTCTTTTGTATCAATGCCTCTCACTTTGGCTAACTCAGGAAAGTTATCAGTTTGTCAAGGGTACATAATCCACAACCTCTATTCATTGTTATTCAGGCTGTGAGGCAAGGAAATGAAGAAATTGCGGAAGAAGTGGAACTTCTCAAGCACAAAATTCAAGAACTGGAAAAACTGGCCAGGGGACAAGGACTCGGCGGAATCCTGAATTTTAGACTGGGCAGTACAGAAGATGGAAAGACCGCAAAAGCTGCTTGACCTATGAATATAGTTTGAGTCAATATTCTTTCGGGGTAAATGTCAAATTTACTTCCGGTTTGGGTTATTCACACTTCATGATATGAAATACTCCTCCGGTCCTTATTATAAGACCTAATTTGACTTTTTATTTGGTCCTAATTATAAGACCCAATCCATTTTATCTCTTATATTTATGCATTTTTTTCCAAGATAATCCTTCTAATAATGATAGTTTTAGCCAATATACTTAATTAGCAAGAATATTTTAGGAATGACAATACTTATTTATTATAAATAACTAACTTACTTCCTTAATCTCCTCAAATAAGTCAATTGGGTCTTATAATTAGGACCGGAGGAGTATCTGATTGTCACCTTGAGCTTATTTCACTCTTATATGCTGAGACAAATAAGGTGAAGCGTTATTTTTTTGGCCTGAAATGAGGTCAAGTATTATTGGAACAAAACGTAATGGGTCATTGAGAATGGAGCCGAGTTCTTGAATGAAATCCCTTTGATATATAAATATATATATATATATATGTATGCAATAGCCACAGTGCACACATTTTTTTTTAAAGGCTTTCTAAAGTCTCTTGTTACCCACCCAATCGAAAGCTTTCTTCAAGTGAATGAAAACCACATTTAATATTTGGAAAATTAATCATATTTACCACTATATTTAAACTATGAAAGAAAGCTTGGGCATCCTTTGGGGTGAAAACCCATTGTACTTTTATATATCTGTGTTTAAGCTCATTCACTCACTTCACTGCTTTCTCCCGTTATGACATGGCACGGTAGTCGGTAAGAGGGAGCAAAAGAAAGTTAAATCCAAATTCCTTAAATTTATTATAAAAAAATAATATGATTTTAAAAAGGCCTTTATGCATTTTCTTAAAGTCGGTTTTAACTTTTCAACCAAAAAAAGCACTCTTTAACTTTCCGAGTTATATGCTTGATAACTCATCCCCTTTCTTATTAGTCGGCCGTCAATCCCCAATTATAGATTTATAGTGTGGCAGATAAAGGTAACAACGTGGAAGCACCAAATAGAATGCATTTTGACTCCTCCCAACACTAAAAACATAGTTTGCGTGTCCACTAAGGAAACAGATTTATTGATATCCCCAATAGCTAATTACAGCGAAACCGATCCAACAGGCTAATCATTTTCCGCCATGATCATAAAACACTAACGCTCAAATCATAACCAATCTCAGAGCTATGATTAATCTCCAAGGAGTCAACGAAACATCTTTTAAAGTCGAATTCAGAATCCTGCACCATGACCACCGGCACAGACAACATATATCCAGTGTTTCTTCTGCAATTGCATCTTTTGTTCACAATTCAATAAGATATGAATAGACAAATGATTTTTAATAACAATTAGTGTGCAAGTTGAAATCACTCGCCATCTCTCTCGCACACACACCAAGACGGTGATGGGTTTTGATTTATGTGAAGAGTAGGGAGAATGAGGAGGTTGTGGTGTGCTTTATTCGTTGGGCGCATCAGAATCTGCGAAAGGCCATTCTAGTGATTGTGGGTTGATGTTCACCAACAAGTTCTGGTTTGGAATGCATGCGTTTAGGGGTGTTCAATTTGTTCCGTCCCAATCCCGATGAGTTTGGGACGGGACAGGACAAAAAATTTTTTGGGACGGGACGCGAGACGGGGTTGTCCGGTCCCGTCCCGTCCCGGAATTTTTTTCTTTTAAAAATTATTTATTAATAATTATTATTAAATTATTCAATTTACTTATTAATAATAAATCTTATTTTTATGGTGATTTGTAGCTCTTAAGTTGTAGTATTATCTCAACAAAATCTCCTTCCTCAATAAAATAATTCATAAAGTCATTATATAGTGTTTTTTTTTACGGTATTATTTTTACACCTTTTTTATGCTATATAATTAAGCTTTTTACATAATATTTTTTTATAATGTTTTTATCTTTAAAAACCCAATAAAAAATAAGTATTATAACATAAAAAAATTCATATAAAAAATTATGGTATTTTTTTTTAAAAAAAAGGGGGAAACGGGACGTCCCGGTACCGACGGGACGGACCGGGACGGGACGGACACGAGACAAAATCCCTGTCCCGTCCCTGTTCACCGGGATGGGCCTGTCCCGGTCCCGTCCTGTCTCATGAACACCCCTACATGCGATAGTTGATGCCTTTTTACTCATTCAAATTCAATATTTGGTGATAATAACACCTATCTCATTCCATTGCTTGTCATCCCCTCCAACACCTCTTTTTCAGACATCTTCCTCCACAATATGGGCTACCCCATGTGGGTTGTGTCTCTCAACTATTATTTCGCTTTGAAACATTTCACGCAATTATCACTTTCTCAATTTTTTGCACTATTATCTACCATCTTAATATTATCACCTCATATAGTTTAAGTTAAATAACACTCCTCTGATTTTTAATGTAGGACTTAATTATTAAATTGACCTTAGCCTTAAATATAAGATTTATTTATCATATTTATCAAATTTTTTAAATTACCCCATTGATACTCTCTCAACTATAATCAAGTAAGAGAGGGATATAGGATATTAAGAAAAATGATTTTGATACTTTAAGAAAAACATATCATATTTTTTTAAATTAACTTATCTAACTTTCTTAACATAATCAAATTAATTAAATAGGTCTTACATTAAGAATTGAAAAAATATATGGACGACTACAAAAAAAAAAATTAAGTAGTGGGATGAAAAGCAGGTAAATAATGGGGAGGGCAGGTAATTTGGAAGGGGATCATATCCAGTGAACAGTGTGTTGGGGTGTAAAGTTCGGTCCAATCAAGAGAAGCATCGATGCCCGAATTTGGTGGATGCTAGTGGAGGCACCCTTTATTCCTTCCTTACCGTGCTCATCCTCCTTCCTTCTCTGCCACTATTTCTTGTTTTGTGCATTTCTTTTAAATGTTTTTATCAACACAAATGGAATCCCTTTTCGCCTCCCATTTCTATCCTTCCCCGCAGTTTTCTCCTCACAAGTTGAAAATGAAACAAAAGAGGACATGGAAATAGAATGCAGGATAATCAAGAAGTCAGAATACCAGTACTTTTTCTATATAAAAATTTATCAAATTCCTCTTGAAAATAAAATTTCTAACAGGGGCCTAGGGGGTTTCCCCACAAATTTCCCCATATTACTATTTATCAGCTAAATGTGAAGCATGGATGGCAAATAATTGTGCGTAAATCAGTCTATACAAAAAGACGTATGAACAAAAACAATTTATCACTTATTTAAAAAAGGGTGCAACATTGACCACGATGAAGCATGATGGTTTTTGACTTTTATCTACCTAGCTATTATAATCGTTTGAGAACATAAAATTTAGTTTATGCCTTCATACTCCGGCATAATTCATTCGTTATTGAAAATATTTGAAACAGTTGTAGAAAATAAATAAATAAATAATCTATCACCTGTCAGTTTATTAATTTTGTTAGGAGGGAGAGAAGTTGGTAACAACAAACTAATTGAAAACACCTTATTTGATGGACCACTCTTTTTTCAAGTGTATGATCAACCATCTGAAAACCAAGATGAGTTGTGCTAGTTTTCTTTCTCACCAGGACATAACTTTTCATAACTAAAGTCTTATCCCTGTATCTTACTATAATACTATTACGATAATTCTTTCACTGTCCCTACCTGTAGGGACTAAATAATTAATTCTTAAAGATTTAAAATAATACTCCTCCGGTCTTTAATATAAGACCCAATTTTTAAGTTAGTTTTAGTCCTAAATATAAGACTCATTTATCATATTTATCAGTTTTCTTTAAATTACCCCAATAGATACTCTCTCAACCACAATCAAGTAAAAGAGGGAGATGCAGTATTAAGAAAGATGATTATGGTGTTTTAGAAAAAATGTGTCATTTTTCTTATAATTAACTAACTTACTTAACTTCTTTAATCTAATCAAATTAGTTAAATGGGTATTATATTAAGGATCGAAGGATTATTATCTTCAGTTCTTAACATAAGAGCTAATTTGATATTTGATTTGGTTCTAAATATAAGACTTCAATTGACCTGTCTCTCATATTTATCTATTTTTTTTCTCAAAATAGTCCTTGTAGCATTTGCATATGTTACATATTTTATCAAATGGTATTCTAAAATATATATTATTAGTAAGGGTATTTTAGGAAAGACAACACCTATTTATTAAAAAAAATAACTTAACCACTACAAAATAGTCAACTAGTTGTTATATTAAGGTGGAAGTAATAGTTAAGTTAGTTATTTATAAAAAAAAAGTATGTTAATTTCTCTAAAGTATTATTTCTAATTATTTACATTGGAAATTATTTTCTTGATGAAAATTTTCTTATTACATGCTATCAATAAAGAAAATTTTAAAAACATTATAATTTTTTTTTAAAAAAGTAGACGATGTTTTATATTTAAAATCAAAATAAATATATCTAAACCAATAAGTATTGGTACAGGTGGAAGGGATTTGAGCACCTTAAACATCATGTCTCGGATTCGATTCTTATGATAGTTACGGTGCCTGACAGTATCCTGTTGGGCAACTAAGAAATAAATACATCTACCAACTCTTACATTTATGCCTGAAAAAAGTATTTTTGAAGTATTTTCTATTCTGTCACTTGAATAATTAAACCTTATAAAATGAAAAATTTACATACAATTATTTATATATTTATTGAAAATTTTTAATTAAAATGTAGTTGACATTTTTGTTGGTCAAATATCATATTTGATGATTGTATTTGCCAACACTTGATGATTGTAAATTATATGCATAATCTCATTATAATTTTCCAAAAAAACAAAAGGGGAAAATAAAAGAAAGTAGGTTACCGCCGTCATTTTGGCGAAGACGGAGGGTATTTTGGAGTAACTAATTCTACATATTGTAATATCCCTTTGCCTTTTTGTCCCATCGCTCGTTTTACAGTAAGGGAAGGAGAGACATGCGATGAAGGTCTTTCAACAGTGAGGGACAAGTCTCTCTCTCTCTCTCTCTCTGCGTTTCTGTGACCTTCAAGTATTCTTAAGAGAAAGGGAGAGCCGAGCCATATTGAA